ATTCCGCATCGGAACAACAGAGAAACGCCAGTGCGGTGGCTTTGGATGCACCAAATCTCACATTTCTTTTTTGCACATGAAGTTTCCAGCCACGAGGACTGTCCTGCATGTGGAATCACATCCAGCGATGCTCGACGGCCACCAGAACAAAACTCAGCATTGCTGGCTATTGTGTTCGCACAAGATTGTGGTCCTGGGTGCAGAAGGCAGCCCCTTGGAGATCTCCATTCCTTTTAGGGAAAGAAATGCAAGTTTCTAGAGCGCACGTGAGAAATGAACCCCGTGAAATGCCTCAGTCATTGAAAGACAACCCAGACTTAGCCCTGTTCAGAGCAGGATCCAGGATATTAACCGGGCGAGTTTGTCATTTGGAAGTTCCATGGATTTCGATGGGTTTGGCCTGAGTGTGTGAAAGCCAGACCAAACCTTGCAGCCCTCCAGACACTTTCCCCTACAACTCCCATCAGCCCTCGCCAGCCCAGGATGGTGGGAGTTGTAATCCAGAACGTCTGGAATACTTCTCAGCTTCCCCAGCTGTGAACCCTGGCATAGTTGAGGACTTATTTCTGAGCACGTACAGGATTGTATCCTAAGCTGGTTTCCCTTTTGTACGAGGGGGCTGTTCCAGGCATCCAAGGCAGAGCATTTGCCGGCTTGCCGGCTCTGTTCTAGCGGCAGAATCGCCCGAAAACTGGCGTGTCCGACATGCGTTGTCCCTGGAAGACCTGCAGCCGCACGCTGGCCACCGTCACCGGGGCTTAGACGAGGTGGCCAGCTGGATGCCCGAGGCGCTGTACCTCGGCTGCTTGTGGGGCACGGCGGGGAGAAAGCTTGGTCCTCAGGACCAGCATCATGGACAGACCTCACCCTGGGGGCCATCCAGGTCCAAGGACATTTTTTACACAGAAACCCAAAAAGCACACCTCCTCTTTTGCTGGGGAGTTGCCGTCCTTGTTCTTTCCCCGGCCGTCCAGGGCTTGTGCAGACCCACGCGACTGCAATGGTGTTGGAGCCCCCACGGCCATTTCGCGCGCTCTCGGTGCTGCGCACGTCGCTTCGTTTCGCCTCTGCCTTTTAGATTTCATGCCTGTGAGTCGACTGCCATTTCGAAGCAGCAAGCCTGCGACTTCCAGATGTACCGAAGAGCAGGGCTGCTGGTAATCCCGGGAGGGGGATGGAACTGCGGTCCAGCACATCTGGACAACAGCAGCTGGCGAGGCGGCCAGAGCAGATTGTTTAATGGAAGCGCGAAGGGCGCACATCAAACTTGCAATAATCCCCGACGGCTTTTGAGACTTTCACCAAAGAGCTACTGGGAAGGACACTTCTGCAGCCTGAATCAGGCCAAGTCCCTTCTGGATTTGGGGACCACGGGACCCAAGCGCCTCCTCTCAGGGCCCTTTGAGAAAAATGCCTCCCACACTCACGGGGAACCATCTATGTCGAAACGTGGAGAGAACGCTGTTAAAACGACCTTAAGGGTTCAATCTGGTGCATGTTTTCTTTTTTTGCATTTAGACAAACAAAACAGGCCCACAACTTCTGGATGCCACGTCGGGTCTCCGCCACGCCCAGGTCTCCTTGTGTGAAAATGCCGTCTCCTGGAACAGCCCCGCGCGCCCGTCAGCCTTCGCCGACTTCGTCTCCCACCCGCAACAGTAAAGGAAGCTCTTTACCCAAAATTGTTTTTAATGCAGCTGTTTGGTATGTGGGAAAGTTACAGCCTCTTCAACTCCACAGAACACAGTAGAGAGCCAGGACCAACCAGCCAACCAATAAAATAAAATACAATAAAATAAACAATGAGATTAGTTACACAAACACACCAACCCAACCCAAAATACCTTCCTTATAAAAGAATGAGATAAAAGAAAGTATATTACAGGTTTACAGTGGAGAGAAGCTGGGTTGTAGCACTCAAAGGCATCTGTAAACATAGCAGGTGCTTCAACAGCCTAGTCCTTAGTAAGCTGAATCTTTTGATTCTAGGTGAGGGCTCCAACATTACAATACCCCCCCCCCCCGCCCCATAAAAACTTAGGCTGTGCACTTTAGCTCCAACAGGTCAATTTCAGATGTGGGAATCTTTCTGAAGTAGTGGATCATGTGGGCTAAAAGTGGTAGATCTCAGACACCTCACTGAGAACTAGACTCATGATGAGCCTTGCTGAGGTTTGGTTTTTACCCTAAGATCCCACAACACTCACAAGCTCACATGGGAATGACGGGACATGCTTCTATTTGTGGGGAGGAACTGGAATCTCCAAGCTTGCACCAGCAGGTCCACCAAAAACCTCTTTTGTGCAGATGCAAGAGGCTTGCGAGCGCGCTTTATCGGTGGTCCCGTGTTCCAGCTGCAACGATCCCCCTGCCCCGAAGACGCTGCTTGGATGCAGTGTCCCTTCCGCAAGAGGAAGGATGCTGCTCCCCACGGGTCCTCCCGCACCAGAGGACACCCCGGGAGGGAGATGTGGGGAAGGGAAGGGCTTCTTTGCCAGGGCAGCGGAACTGCTGCAAACCCGGATCCACCCGTGCCTTGGAGCCGGCGGATTCTTCCTTGTGTTCTCCAAGAAACTCTGGCAATGGGAACTATTTGGCACAGAAGGCAACGGTCAGGTTTGGCAGGTCCTGAAAAGCAGCCATTTCCCAAACACGGGAGAGCTGCTGCTGGAGAGTATTTTATTCGGAGACAGCAGGCCACGAAGTCCAGATTTAGGTGCGCACTGCAAGGTCTGGCCCAAATGGCGAGGCGAGGCGAGGCGAGGCGAGGCGAGGCGAGGCGAGGCGAGGCAGCAGAGCACTTAGCTTGGCTCCTGCAAAAAAGCCACTTCTTCCCGGGGTCTCAACGCCGCCATGGGTGAGCACAGCCAGCGGGCCCGTGCCGGCCTGTGCGGCATGGGCTTTGTGTTCCCCCAGGAGTCAGGCAGCCACAAGTTCATCCCCTGGACCTGGCTGCTGGCAAGCTCAGTCAAGCCAAGCCTGGCAAGCCATGCACAGCCCATGAAGAAGCCCACGGTTTATTGCTAGGCTGCGAATCGTGGTTGTGCGTCACGCCGTGTTTCAACTGAGCATGGTTTATTGTGTTGCCAGAACCCAAGCTGTGGCCCTCCCAGCCCCCACCAGCCGGAAAAGCCGCCCCTTCCCATCCGCTCTGGCAGCAGCAAGAGCCACACGCGAAGGCGGGTCCCCGGCATCCCCCGATCCGAGCCAAGGCTGGGCATGCAGCAGCGAGGGGGGCAACGGCCCCCTCCAAACAAGGGCAGGTGGGACAAGGACCTGCCCAGGCGCCGGAAGGCTGGAAACCGCTAGCCTCCCGCTCGGAAGTTCCCCATGCATGTTGGAAGCGGTACTGCGTGGAGGCGCCCAGACGACGGCCGCTCTGGCTTTTGGCCAGGGCCCTGCAGAATGCAGACCGCGGGCGGGAGGCGTTTCTCTCCCGGTGTCCTAATGCTCGAATCCAACGGGGGCATCCCAGGAAGCAGGTGGGTGGGAGAGTCAGGAGAGAGGAACGGAACTGTCCTTCACACAGCTCATCATTAAAATACGGACTCCACTTCCTCGAGAAGTCGTGACGGCCACCGATTTGCATGGTGTCCAATGGGGGCTGGAGCAAATCCTTAGGATCTAGGAGCAGAGCAGGCCTGCCCCCCCCCCTCCGCTTGTGCCCATCTGGCGTGTGTCCATTGGGGCAGCTGGCTTGTCACCGTGTGAAAACGTGGCGGACAAGATGGACTCTTGCTTGGACCCAGCAGGGTTCCTACTTCCTTGCATAAGGGGGGGGGGGGGCTTCCTTTCCTGCGTTCTGCTGCATGAACTCTAGGTGGCGCTGTGACGCAGAAACAGTGCAAACGCACAAGTGGACGCAGCGTCTTCTTTCGCTTCTCTGAGCTGCTTTTTCCTCGCCTTCTAGCAACTCACCACAAGTGATGGCTTGACCCAGAAGTGACTCTGGAGGACGATGGCATTATCTAACGAGCCCCTAATCAATGGGGACAAGCGCATGATCAATGCCCCAGGGAGGAAAGGCTCCTCTTTCAAGAGAAGGAACTCTGATGTTTTTACATTATGCTGTAAACTTCTCAGAAAGTTTCAGTTATTGGATGGAACAGAAATGGAATGAAGACCTTTCTGTTCAGAGTCCGAGATGCGTGAACTGTGCTACTGAGGGGAGCGCTCCTGCCCAGGGCGTGTGTCTGTGTTGGCGTGAATTGTGTTGGCCTGGGGCAGAACAGGCCGGCTCTGGCCAAGACCGGACACTGCCAGGGCGCCAGCTGGGACTCCGAAGGCCACTTCCCACCCGCAAACGCAAGGCCAGCAGCTTTCTGCGGGGTCCGGTGCAGCCCCCAGGTGCAGGGCGTGATGCGCTCACCCAGCTTATACCTTCGAAAGGATCTGAAGGGCACAGAAGGACCGAAACGGGGCTGGGAGGTCCCACCCCTCCCGATTCCCACTTCTCAATCGTAATGCTTTTTTCAGGGGTGAAGGGACCTCTTGCACCTGTCCTCTGGCAAGAGGGCCGGGAACCCGAGGAACGTTCTCGGTTTTCACGGTTGCCGAGTTTGCTCAGCGTTGCACCTGACTTTGTGCCCGTATCAGACCGCCCCCGTCGCACTGCCCCCACCACGGGCCGCGTGCCGGGAATTCTGCAGGCAAGACGGAAGCGGTGTGCGGCTCCCGCCCGGCCTGCCCCCACTTTGAGCACGCGGCCCCCGCAGCCCAGGGCAGCCAAGGGAGCGGCGCTGGTCGGCCTTCCGGAGGCATCGCGCTGCAGCGCCACGTCCCGTCCACGGGAATGGGGGGCACTCCGCGCTCCAGCCCAGCGCACGGTCCTTGCCCTTTGGCTCCCGTGTCCATCGCTCCGTCCCTTTCCCTCTTCGAACCCTTTCCGGTACCGAGCACGCCTCCCCTCCCCGACTTTCCCTGTCCTCCCCCCCTTCCCCACTCCCCCTCCCACTTAGCAAAACCCAGACGCACAAGCAGGGGGGCGCGAGCGAGTCCCCTCACACCACGGAGCTGACCTCGGCGGGGGCGCTCAAGTTCTCCGCGACGTCGGCCCGCTCGATGGCCTCCAGGGCCGTGCAGAGCGCCTCCAGCGTGGCCCCCTCCCTGGACGACCAATCCGAGAGCAGGGTGTGGGCGGGGGCCTCCCCCCGGCCAAAGGTGGCCACGGCGTCCTCCTCGTAGCCCAGGTGGGTGGCCAGGCGGCGCCAGTCTTTGCAGTGGGGGGGCCTCTCCAGCAGGCGCTCCACTTCTTCCTGCTTGTGGGGCGGGAGGTTCGCGTACATCCGGGGCTCCGCCTTGGGCCCTGCATGGGAGAAGGCGGCGGGGTCAAGGAGGGGCTGCAGACACAGAGGGACCGGAGGGCTCCCCCCCGTCCCGACGGAAGGCAGCACGGCCTGCACTCGGCGCGGGAGGGAAATGGCCGGCGTCTTGCAAGGAACCATCCCGACGCGGAGGGCTGCCGGAGGGTCCCGGGCCGGCCGGCCGCCCTCACCGCCTTCCTCCTATTTGGCCCTTCTGCAGGAGACGCCCGGTGCTCCTTCTGAGCTGCAATCTTTGGCTCACCCCCTCCAGACACTTAACAATGGCTTCTTGTGCCGCACCCGGACACCACCCACCCAAACAACGGGAACGCTCTTCCTGCCTTTCCTCCCCGCTCCCTCTTTGCTCAGAGCTGGCAGTGGGAGGAAGACTCTGGCCCCGGGGGACGCGTGCACAGCTGCCGACAATATTCTGCGCCATTCGGTCGTCTCCATTTTAGGGACCCTCCCCCAGCGACTGGGTTCTTCCTTCTCTCCCGTTCAGCAGCTCAGGGCACGGGTTATTCTGGGAGGTGAAATTTGGCCCTTTCCGATTCTCCTCCTGAACAGTTTTTGCACATTTGCAAACCCTGAGATCAGCCCCTGGACCCTTCCCGGCTTGGTGCTCTCGAGCAGGGAAAGACGTCTGCCCTCTCCCGGCCCTGCTGCTTCCCTGGGGGCCTGGAACATCTGTGCCGAAAGCACCCCACCCCGTCCAGCCCACCTGTTCGCCCTCCGGGGGGCAGCCAGCCTCTCCGGGGTCCTTCCTGCACTGCCTGCGGCCCCTTCCCAGCCCGAAGGAGGTGCCTCGCTCCGTCCGGTGGCAGGGCCGGCCCCGTCGGAAAGAACCCTGTGGCACCAGCAAGTCCGTGCTCCGTACAAGAGCCAGCCCCCCCCCCCCCACTGCTTCTCTGGGCCGTCATCACCCACCGGCTCCTGAGCATAAAGCAACCTTCATGAGGGCGAGAAACTCGCGTTTGAAAAGCATTTCGAGCCAGAAGCTTGGGCCGCGGATGCCAGTTCCTGCAAAGCAGCTGTGCACAGTTGCGGAACGGCCACAGCCCCAGTGACGGGCCAGGCCCCCTCCCACGGCCGGGACCAGCTGGGGACGCGCCCGCCTTACCCTTGCTGAGCGGGTGGTGCTCCTGGAGGCTGTGGGTGTCGAGGAAGACGCCGCTGTCGCTGTGCAGCTTCTCGCCCTCCGGGGAGGCGCCCGCCTCGCCCGCCCGGGCCTTGGCCAGCTGGTGCTTCTGCTTGCATGTGGTCCAGCTGCGGGGACAATCCGGGGGAGCCCTGAGAAGCCGCCCCGGAGCAGCCCCTCTGGCCGCCCCTCCGAGCCACGGACGTGCCCGGCGGACGCAGGGATCCTGGCCCCGGCGGGCGGGAGAGGTGCCGGCGCGGGGAGCCCTCCCAGCTCATGGGGCTTCAGCAAAGGGCCGGGTTAGACGCTGGAGGCGATGCCATTGTTTAGAGAACAGAAGGGACCGGAGACTAAAGAACTGACGATTAATAATAGCAAGGAGCTAGAAAATGGAAGGTGACTATCATATAACTGACTGGTAGAAAGAAGCCTGGGATATAGCTATTAATAAGTTGCGATATTCAATGGGAAATGGTTTGATGAGTGAAAACAAATTTGAAAGTGAATGAAGAGCTTTTATTGACTACATGTTAATAAAAGGAAAAGGGTGTGAACCGCCACAAGAGTTGTGACGAACCGCCGAAATACTGATCTGGAAGGGAAGTGGGGCAACCTGAATGAATAAATGGACTTGTACAAAGTAACTTGAGTTGTTGGTCTTGTTGGAGGTAGCAGTATTACTGCATTGCTTAATTATGTTTATTAATAATGTTTAATTATACTGTTACCATAGTAGTTGCATTGTTTTTGTTTGTTTAATATTGTTTGTTTAATTAAAATGAAAAAAAGAAAAGGGCCGTGTGTGGAGAGCACGGGAAAAGCCTCCCCGAGGCTTCGGCGAATGGGGCGGCATAAAAATGTTTTAATAAATAAATACAATAAATAAAAAAGGACCGGCATCTCTGCTTTTCTCAGCCGGTCCGCAAAGGCCGTGAAAATGAGCTGGCTTCGATCCGCTCTCCACTGGCCCCGGGGACAAGTGGCCCTGAAGGCTGGGCTGGAAGGAGGAATGCCGGGGTGGGAAGCATCCGGGGGGGGCCTGGGGGGCAGGAGTGAAGGTGGGAGATGAAACAGGTCACAAGCAGGCAGGGGAGGCAAGAGGGAAGCCAGCGCTCGGTTCAGTGGGCCGGGTCTGACCAGCCCAGTTCAGTGCCGGCCCACTGGAAGGGTGACCCCCTTGAGTCCTGGTTTCAGTGGGCCTATCCGGAGTGGGATGGGGGTCCGGATCAGACCCCAGGTAAAGGCCCATGTGCCTGGGCTGATGCAGCTCCCGCCAGCACAGAAGAGGGCTGCAGTTTTTGGACACCCACGATCCGCATCTGGCACTGCAGGACACGGAGCCGATGCCACTTTTCCGGCAGGGAAAGGCCTGGGAAGGGGCGTCCTCTGATCCGCGGAACGCCATGCGTGGCGCAGGCAGCCCCCTGGGAGGAAAGCGTGGCCAGGGATGCCGCCTGCCAGGGAGCCCCCTCCTTCGCACATGCGTGTTTGCTGGGAAAGCCACCCCGCAGTGCGTGCGCCGCAGGGTGGGGCCGCGGGGGGGTCATGGGGAATCCCGCTCCCAGTTGGTGCAAGCTGTGTGTCGTTGGGGAATTCAGATGCATCCTGGGAGAGAAAGGCTGCTTAAAGGTGCCTTGGTGTTATAAATTCAGACCTGCGCCCCTTTCTCAGAAAGCAGCAGAATTCCAAGCCAGGTGACTGTTCAGCTTTGCTATTGCCTTAAGAAGAGGGAATTCTTAGCTATCCTCAGAGGCTGCAGGTGACGTTAATCCTTCTCTAGGCTCCTGCTGCTCAGAAACAGCTGAGAAAGTTGCCAGGTCAGGGCTCTTTAGCAGCATCACAACCCTAATTTGCATGATTAAAACTCACAGCTAAGGCTCAAAAACCAAAAAATCCTTGCTTTCCCGAATATTCAAGTCTCTCTCCTGTAATCCAGGCTATTCTCTCACATTCTTTTGACTGTGTTCCCCTGATTTTGTCCTCACTTGACCAGCTGCTATGTCATGCGACTCAGCCTATCAAACACTCTGCACATGCTCTGGAAGCTTGTAGTTGGCCCGGCCTCTACCCGGCGGCGCTTCTGCAAGCTTGGGTTCTCTGCAGAGGGTGCCTGAGTGGCCTTTCACTAAACGGCTGAGGTTCCAGGCACAGGGGGTCTCCCCTTGCATCTGCACGGCGGCTCTCAAGACGCTCCGAGCAGCTTCCTGCAGGGGGCTCAGCCCCGGAGAGCCTGCCGGGAAGCAGACACATTTGGGGGGCCCAGGCAGCGGCTCCCCCCCCCCGCCGGCCAGCTGACGCCTGGCCTGGGGAGACACATCATGGCCCCTTGTGCGCATGGAGCCGGCCGGGAAGGTGCCGCGCCACTGCTCCGGCTGCGAAGGGTCCCTGGCCCGGGACCATCAGTGCGCGAGGAAGACCAAGCGCGCAGCCGGTGCAGGAGAGCCGCTCGTCCGCTGGGAGGCAGGCGCAAAGGCGTGGCTCTGCTTGCGAACCGAGCAGGACAGCACGTGGCTGGGGGCCTCTTCCTCTCGGCTGCCCTCGTGGCGCAGGGGAGCGGCCGGCCGATCTCGGCCTGCGAAGCCACGCGGGGCTTCATCCTATTCAGGGCCGGTCCCCGTCGGCGAGCCGGGTGCAGCGGGGAGGGCGGCCTCGCCTTGCCCCACAGAGCACCAGCCTCTGACCCAGGGTGTGCCGGGACCTGGGAGGCAGCTTTCCGTGGCCACGATGCCCCCTTGCCGGAGTGGGGGCCAATGCAGCTGCTGGGCAGCTGCAAGGGCCGACGAGGAATGCTCTGCCGCAGGTGGCCCGGCTCCGGCCCCGGCCATCCGCTGCCAGCCTGCATGGGGCCAGCCCCCGGGCAGGGTCCTTCGGGCACGGTCCCTTCCCTGGCCCCTCCCTCCAGAGGTCCCTCTTCTCACCCCCTTGGCTGCAGCGTGGCCCGGAGGAGGCGAGCGCCAGAGGTGGCTCCCCCCGTCCTTCCCGCCACCCCATGGTCCGGCTCAGAGCGAGAGCCAAGGTTTCCGTGGGGGAGAAGGGGGCTGCCACAGGGAGTGGTCTCGCTAGTGCCCCCGCCGCCCCGGCGCAGCCTCGGGCACTACCAAGCCATGCCTGCCCAGCCATGGGCTGTGATCGAGTGCCTGCCCTTGGCTGACCCCCTCCAGGACTCTCCCCACCTCCCCGTCCGGGACCCCTTTCCCAGGAGAAACCAGCACTCTTTTCCCAGGCGGTGGCCCCTCCACTCCAAGACGCCCCCCAAAGGACTCACAGCTCAGCCCAATTACAGCAGAACCCCGAGGATAACTTGCATTCATGCTGGGAGTTGGAGTCAAACACACCTGGTAGTGGTGAGAGTGCTGGACCGAGGACCCGGGAGAACGGACCGGGTTCCAGTCCCCGCCTGTCCGTGAAGCTCCCTGGGTGACTTGGGGCCAGGGACTCCCTCTCGGCCCACCCTACCTCACAGGGCTGTTGTTGCCGTGAGGGTAAAAGGCGCTGCGGGGCCCCCCTTGGGAAAGGGAAATGGCAGGGTAGAACTGCCATGCAACCCACGTTCTCTGGAGGCCACCAAGTGGCCAAAGCTCCCCTCTGCCAGACGTACCACTTGAAGGCCACGTAGGCCAGGAGTCCCACCACCACGGCTGCCAGGATGGAGCAGTACACCGGGATGATGTTCTTGCCATTGTCCTCCACCAGCGGGGGGGGCAAACTCCGACTCCGTGGAGGAATTGGGGGGAGCGCTGCCTTCGGAATCCAAGAGCGGCGTCCTCTTCGGAAAGGTCTTTCGGGTCTCTCCCTCAGTGCGCTTCAGGATCTGCAGCTCCTTTTCTGCAAAAACGCACAAGGCCGTTTTGTTGGCTTGCTTATGTGTTGGTTGTGCTTCTGTTCCCCCTGCGCTGAGACCCTCTGGGTCCACCACACGTAAAACCATAAAATACGAGGCAACATGCGATGCCAGCGTTTAAACCTTCAGGGTCTAAAGATCAGAAAAACAACCAAATAGAAGCTAGCGACAGCATGGAATTTTAAAACGCAGCACTCGGCTTAAAAGAGAAACCAAGAAAGGAAAAGCTCACAGCAGGCCTCTCTGGGGAGCTGGCCCCACAACCGGGTGCCATGTCAGGAAAGCCCTTTCCCTGGTAGCTGCCCAAGCCATGTTTGTTTATTTATTTAAAACTTTTGTAGCCCGTCTCATTACAGAAGTCTCAAGAAGGTTTAACAATACAAAATGCATTTTTTTAAAAACACGGTGACCTAAAAATAAGCAATACTAAAACCCCAATTAAAACAATTAGTTCTTAAAACATTGGGAAAATAAAAAGTTTTTAGCCTGGCGCTGAAAAGAATACAGTGCCAGTGCCAGCCACACCTCTCTGGGGAGCGATTTCCACAATTGGGGTGCCACCACAGAGAAGGCCCTTCTCCAGGTAGTCGCCCTCCTAATCTCCTTCAAGGAGGGCACCTGGAGAAGGGCGTCTGCCCCAGATCTTAAGGGGTGGGCAGGCACATATGGAAGCAGACGCCCCTCCAGGTAACCAGGCCCTTAAGTCAGCCATGTCGAACCTTTGAGAGACCGAGTGCCCAAACTGCAACCCAAAACCCACTTATTTATCGCAAAGTGCCAACACTGCAATAAAGCCTGAACACTGAGATTTTAGTTTAGAAAAAACAGCTCACAGCCCGTCCAAGCAAATATACATATCTCTTTTGCAGCGCATTGACTGGCCATGTGAAAGCTCAGACGAGTCATGCCTAATGAGTCGTGGCTCGTGGCTTCATCGCCTGGCGCCGCTACTGCGTTCCGAGCATGCGCATGGCCCCCATGTGCGCTGTTATCCGATGCTCGGCTGCTGGGCGATGCTGGGGAGACTTGGCTCGCGCGCTGACAGAGAGGGCTCTGCGCGCCCGCTGTGGCAGGTGTGCCAGAGGTTCGCCACCACTGGCCTAACCTCGACTGGTGCACTCCCCTAACCCTAATATAGGGGTAAAGTTCCATTGAAAGGGGGCAATTTGGAAAAAGCCTTCCTTGAGCAGCTTTTTCTGCACAGCTCATCCTTTCTGCCCATTCTAAACACATTCCACTCATCAAAATCATGCCAGGACACCTCGTTTTCTAACCCTAACCCTACCCTGGTGCACACCCCTAACCCTAATATAGGGCTAAAGCTCCTTTGAAAAGAGGACCATTTTGAAAAAGCCTTCCTTGAGGATCTTTTTCTGCACATCTCAATATATCTGTCCATTCTAAACACATTCCACTCATCAAAATCATACCAGGACACCTAATTTTTCTAACCCTAACCCTATCCTGGTGAGAACCCTAAACCCTAAAATCGGGCTAAAGTTCCATTGAAAGGGGGCAATTTGGAAAAAGCCTTCCTTGAGCAGTTTTTTCTGCACAGCTCATCCTTTCTGCCCATTCTAAACACATTCCAACCATCAAAATCATGCCAGGACACCTTGTTTTCCTAAACCTACCCTGGTGCAAACCCCTCACCTTAATATAGGGGTAAACTTCCATTGAAAAGAGGGCAATTTTGCAAAAGCGTTCCCTGTGTCGCTTTTTCTGCGCAGCTCATCCTTTCTGCCCCTTCTAAACACGTTCCCACCATCGAAACCATGCCAGGACCCCTCGTTTTTCCGACCCTAACCCAGTGATGGTGAACCTTAAGGAGCACCTGCAAGCAGGACAGCTCCTCCGGGAGGCAGAGCGCGACCGGCTCCAGAACAGGCTGAGCATCGCTGGGCCGGCAGGCGCCGCCTCCCCCTTGCCCTGATTGAGCCTCGGCAGCCTGGCCTTCACCCGGGGCCCCACGGCCACAGTTCCCACTGCCTCACCTGGAAAGGAGCCAGAGCCCGGTGACACCTCACAGCTCCTAGCAAGCCTCCCCCAGGGGCATCATGGCGATCCCAGAATCATCAAAGAGTAGAGCTGGAAGGGGCCAAGAAGGCCATCCAGTCCACCCCCTGCTGTGGCAGGACCCCAAGTCACACCATCCCACTCAGATGGCTGTCCAGTTTCTTTTTGAATGTCTCCACCGTGGGAATGCCACCACCTCTCCAGGCAGCCGGTTCCACTGCTGTGTTGCTCTGACAGTGAGAAAGAGCCTGGATCTGGGTTGTCGCAGCTTGAACTGATTATTCCGTGTCCTGCACTCGCATCAGCAAGAAGAGATCTTGGCTTTCCTCTTTGTGGCAGCCTTTGAGGTCCTTCTAGAGGGAGCTCATGTCCCCCCTCAGCAGGAAACCTTTTTATTTCATCTATATTTCAATAAGCTTTAATATTGTATTTTTAATACTATATTTTAACTGCAGCCAGAGTGGGTCAATTTATGTTGATTTTATGTTAATATTTTGTTATAATTTATGTATATTGATATTTGTATTTTATTTATGTAAGCCATCCTGAGGCTTTTGCAATAGGACGGCATATAAATATCACAAACAAACCAAACAAGCAAACAAATGTAAAAGCGAGAGACACAAAAGCAACAGCAACCAGGGCCACCTTCTAGTCCTGTGCTTTCTGTGGAATATCCAGAGCAAAAAAAAGCCACTTCTCTCCCCGGGGAAATGCACAAACCCAGCCTGTGCGCACGAGGTGTGCCTTGTGAAGCAGCAAAGTCCCGGCCTGGGCATTCCACGTGGCAGACGACAAGAAGAGCCGTGAGCCTCTGGCGCTTCCTCTCTCCCTTTTCTAAAAGCCATCCTAAAAGTGAGATTGTTCATGCATCTCACATGAAATGTGGAGTATTTCTTGACTGCAAATGTCCCTTTTCGGCGACTCTGCTGTGAAGATGGAACGAGGTCATCCTGCACAGAGACTGGGAAAAGCAGGCACTGGGGTGAGAGGCCTGAAGTCCCTGCAGAAGTGGAAGGTGGGTTATGATCTGGGAAGAGGCCTCTTGGCCGAGGGCTTTCGGGCCGGCTCCCGCCATCGCTGCCATTCAGGGAGCAAGCCCATTTACAAGAGGAAAACTTGAAGGGCAGCACCGGTCCCGGGAGCCGACGCATCGCTCCCGTGTCCGCAAAGTAAGGCTGCCACGCTGCGCAGCCTGGAATTTGGGCACGGACGGACTCTGAGCCCCAGAGCACTCGGGGCTGCAGAGCAAATTCCAGGACTCCGAAGTCTTTAAAAATGTTTCCAGATGTGGTTTTTATGATGCAGTCCCTCTGCTTCGTTCACAGAGTTTCCTGAGAGGTCAGATGGTCACTGTCTTCCACTGGATACGCGTTCCTGCTTCCTCGTCAGTCCTCCTGGCCGTTTTCTTACCAACCCAAAGAAAACCGCTAAACGGGAAACAGCGGAAGGGCTGCGTGGCCCCTTGGCACTGTGAGGGCCCCGGAGAGGCTGCAGGGCTGGCGTGTGCCCAGGCCCTGGAAGGCATTCGGGGTGTGCAGAGAAATCAAGGGGGTGGGTGTGCCCCCTCCGCTTTCTGCACCTCGACCCGTGGACCTGCGCTGGAACGGCACGGCCGGTGCCGGCTCGGAGACGAGGTTCCCAGGCAAGATGCCTTCCTCTCCCCCGTCTGCTTGGGCACCGCTCGCTGCGGGGCAGAGGGCCGGCAAGGGTGCGGGACGTGGCGCCTCCCTGGTCTGGGCCAGGGAGTGGGGCAGGTGAAGGTGCGCGTAGAGAGAGGAAGAACTCGGAGGTGGGCCGGGCCAGGCCGAGTCTTTGGCATCCACCTGGGGGTGCCCACCTTTGGTGTGGGCAGTGAACCCGAATGCCTGCAGGGGTCGCAATGGAGGGGACAGCGGGTCAGCGAGCTGGACGGAGGAGGGAATGGGGTGGGGGGGAAGCAGCTGGAGAGGGTGCTTGTGAAGGGGCTCTCGGGGGACTTGGCGGCAGGCGGGACACGAGCCAGCAGTGTGACAGCGGTGGAGGCCACCCCACCCCTCCGCAAGGCGCACGGCCAGAAGCCTGGTTCCAGATCGAGGGAGGGGGTGATTCCGCTCCACACGGCTCTGGGGCCCCACGGCCGGAGGGCTGCGTCCAGTTCTGGGCTCCACATCAGAGGGGAAACGCAGCCGGGTGGGGATCGGTGTGGCACGTGGTCTCGAGAGTTGTGGTCGGCCAGGGGGGATGCTTTTTGAAGGGAGCTGGGCCTTTCCATCTGAGGGGAGACCCCAAGGGATCCTGTGGCGGCTGGGAGGCATGTGAGGGGAGACCACGAGGAGGAGGGCCGGGCGCTGTTCCCCCGCTGTGGAGGGCAGGAGGGGTAACAGTGGGGCACAGCTCAAGGAACCCGGCTTCTGGCTGGATGTCAGGGAGGGCCTCCGGCAGTCAGGACCCCTGGGGAATGGAAGGGGCTTCCAAGGAGGTGGGTGAGGCCCCATCAGTGCGGGTCTTCAAGCCAAGGCTGGACAACCCCATGATGATTACATGAGCAGAGCCGGCTGGAGCCGGGGGTCAGACTAGATGTCCCGGGAGACCCCTTCTGACTCGCTCTGTTTGTTTCTATGAATCGCTGCTTCGACCACTTCTCCCCAAGCTGAAATATCTTGCTTTGCAGAGAAGAGGAGCTGCTAACAGGCCACTCTTCCCAAGCAGAAGGGCTGTCGCGGGCCCTGCGGACAACGCAGGCCGTGGATCCCCACAGAACGACGCAACACAGGCCTGGCACGTGAGCGCTCAGGTCTCGAAGGGCGGCCCCGTTCCCTCCGGTGCCACGCCGGCTCTCCTGGAGCCGCCTCCGTCCACAGGCGACACTTGGGGGCCTCGCATTAGGACACGCACATGCAATTCCTTTCCGCGTTTTGAATTGCGCGCGACGGCGGAGCAGCTCTGCAGGGAATGGCAGCCGCGTGGGGAAGGCCAGAGCCCTCCTGCTCCCCATCGCGCCTCATCCATTACGCTGGGATCACCGCTGAATCAGATTCCAAGGGGAGCGACGCAGCTTCGTTGCCCAGAGGAAAGTGGGGAAAGCACATTTTCCCTCCCGGCCGCGAACTTGCTAGGTGGCCTCGCGAAAGCTCAGGGCGATGTTTTGCTCTTTCTCCAGGAGTTGTTCTGCTCCGGAGGAAAAGTGGTGGGGATTTTTCTTCCCTTCCCCGGGGGGGGGGGGGGAGCTGATGGCTGGGGGAAGGTGCTTCCCACTGGAGAGCTGGAAGAGGGGAAAGTAACCCAAGACCAACCAGGACGGCTGCAAAGCTCTCGGGAGGTTTAGCCCGGAGGAGGGATGACACAAAAGCGGTCTTCAAATATTTGAAAGGTTTTCACATAGAGTTATTATTTCTTTTCTGCCTCGCCCCACGGCCAAAGCTCTCTGGGTGGTTTATGATGAGAAGGTGGAGCGGACGGGGTCTCTGATGCACCAAAGGGCAGAAGGACTGAGAAGTGGAAACCAGAGACGTGGATTGTGGCTGCGCATGAGAAGGGCCGACAAGTGTGGTCCCCATACGTGGAAGTCAGACCTGCATCCCAATGCATCCATGTCAGGCTCTGATCTGCTCAAGAGACTAGTCCTCAGTGAGTTCCAGGTGGGGAAAGCCAAGGTACTGGAGCGCTGTGCATTCATGTGAGTTTGTTGCTTTACAGATTTTGCAGGCAGATGTGGTAGAATATGGTGGAAAATGCCAACAGACTGTAAAGGTTGGGGGAAGGGGCCACTTATGTGTGGCCACCACATGGGATTGGTTTAAAAACACCTCCCCAAATGCGGGGGTGGGGGGGGGGAGGGAGGCAACACTCAGCTAACTCCTCAAGAACGCAAGAATGTATACAGAAAATAATTCCCCAACTGCAACCGAATCGGCAGGGTATTCAGCTTCCTCTTCCGTGCTGCATCTGTCCAAGGTGCAGGCCAGAGACTGGCTAAAGGCCAGTATCCAGTTGTTCTGGACTTCATTTCCCAGAATCCCCTGCCAGCATGGCAATAGTGAGTAAGACTCAGAGCCAAAACATCTGGAAATCTACTTTTCGACCACTGCAGATGTAAATGGGAGGCAGAATTCCAATAGAGCTGGGAGAGACACTGAGGGCGTTGCAGGTGGGGGGAAGCTGCTGTCTCATGAACCCCCTGTAAAAAACTCTTTGCAGGTAGAAAGGTAGCACTTGGGGGAAATGCGGGCTTTTGCTACGATGGCAAAAGAGCAGATTGCCGTGGAATTTGTACAAATTCGACACTTGATTCATTTCTGTAAATACAGGACAAGCTATCCAAAGGTTAAGTTCTGTTTTGCAATGGCTTGACTAAAAGCTACATAAACATGTATGGATTTGGAGTGAGAAGGATGCCAAAAATGCCTCTCCTAGTTTTGTACTTGCAGGGCTGTTGCTGAAAATAAAACAGCACCCCAAAGCCAGGCCTTTCATCCCCCTGAATCCAGCAAACAGCAGCCTGATGTGGTACAGTCTTCCTCAGACTTTACCATATCATGCATGACAGACGCTTGGTTTGTAGTCCGTGAGCCAAAAAGAAGCCAGCGCTTGCTGTGCCCAATTTTCCTCAAAAAGACGGGATTCTAAATTGGTTGCAAAGCCTCCTTCAATGCCAAGGTTGGGCAGGGGGGCGGGGGGAGGCGCATTGCCGGCCTGTGTGTATCACAGAATAGCCTCTATCCCTAAGCAGAATGGGGCCGCGATCTCTTTGACGCGAGACCGTCCACCCCGCCGTGCTTTTCTCTCCTTTCTCCTCCGCAGAAGCAACATCACACGAGGTTCCGTCTCTTTGAGGGGCCGATTCGTGCCCGTGCCCCCCCCCCCCACATGCATGCATGCAATGCGGCCCACCCCACGCGAAGAAGGGTGGCCCACCCCAATGGAGCAAGGCTCTCGGCGAAGGCTTCAGAAATTTGGCTTGACCTTCCCTGGCCCCCCGGCCTCGGCAGCCCCCCAATACTGAGCTTGAGAAGGTTTCACAAGCCCCCCTCCAGCCAAGTGGGATTAAAGACACGGACCTGGAACAAAAGCCGGATTAGGGGCAACCTGAGGAGAGTCTATTCTGGCACACAAAAAATGCAACTGTTCTAAAACAAAGGCCGGGATCACGGGAAGCGAGTCGGCACATGAAGTTCCTGATGGATTTGGATCCAGAGGGCTGCTTGTCCCCAAACTCTCGCTCTGGAGTGCAGTTCTGGGGTCTACGAGGACAGATGCTGACGGCTGGGGCTGCTGGGCATTGAAGTCTGCCACGAACAATCACCCCATTTTAGCTCTGCTGTTTTTCTGTTCTCTTTGCACACGCTCTGGCCAACGGCCCTTGCCCCTCTCTCTCCCGCTTTAAAAACCAAAGGCCGGTGTGTGTGATCGTGGGCTCGGAGTGAGTAGAACAAGCACCCGTGGTACACGTGGCCACACCAGCACAAGCCAGTTGCCCAAGCTTGGCACGTTCCAATTTTCTCCACTCCCATGAAGGCCCTGCCTGGCATCCAGCATCTCCTGGGGCAAACCACGCTAGAAGTTCAAGGAAAGAAGCCCTGATGTTCCAAACATGAGCTACCAATGTGATCCAGCCGTCAAAAGGGCAAATGCTATTTTGGGATGCATGAACAGAAGTATTCCTTCCAAATCACGAGAAGTAGAAGTTCCCCTCTACTCCTCACTAGTCAGACCTCACCTGGAATACTGTGCTCAGTTCTGGGCACCAAGATTTAAGGAAGACGCAGGTAAATTAGAAAGGGTGCAGAGGAGGGCAACAGAAACGATCCAGGGTTTGGAGACACTGCCCCGTGAGGGGAGACTGGGAGAACTGGGCATGTTCAGCCTTGGGAAGAGAAGGCTGAGGGGGGACATGAGCTCCCTCTAGAAGGACCTCAAAGGCTGCCACAAAGAGGAAGGCCAAGATCTCTCCTTGCTGATCCCAGAGTGCAGGACACGGAATAATCAAGTCAAGTTGTGACAACCCAGATCCAGGCTGGACATCAGGCGAAACTTTCTCACTGTCAGAGCAACACGGCAGTGGAACCGGCTGCCTGGAGAGGTGGGGGGCTCTCCCACACTGCGGGCGTCCAAAAGAGACTGGGCAGCCATCTGAGTGGGAGGGTGTGACTTGGTGTCCTGCCACAGCAGGGGGTGGACTGGATGGCCTTCATGGCTCCTTCGAACTCCGCTATTCGATGATTCGATGATCCTGGGGTTCCTTCCTGCCCCCGCTTGGAAGGTCGCCGTGCTCACAGGGCCTTGCCCTGCCCCATCTGGCTGCGTGCTCGGCGGCCACGCGGCTGAGCTCGCCTCCCCTCAGCGAGCCCCTCTGGGTGCTGGGGTTCCCCGGGCCAGGCAGCCGCTCTCCTCGGCCTCCTGCTCGCCTGCGGAGGAGCTCAGCACGGGCTCTGCACGCGCGCGTCTCCCTTTCCTCTAACTGGCTCCTTCAGCGCTGCGTCGTAAGAGCCGGACCTACTATCCGTTCCGCATGCGGAACAGGAAGGAGAGAGAAAATGGGACTTCACGGCAGAAGGAAGAGGAAAAGAACCCGAAAAGGGCTCCGATTCCAGCCCCAGTCGGTCTCTGTCAGTCAGATCAGTGCTGGCTCCACGCTTTGGAGGGTCCGCCAGCAAGACCGCCCGGGCCGCCTCCTCTTCCTGCTCACCGACTCTGTTCCCTGGGTCGGTGCGAAAGGCACGCGAGCAGGCAGCTTGCAATGGGGAAGAGGCGGCGTGGGGAGCCCAGGGGCGCTTCTCCTTGGCCCCCAGGAATGGTGGGGCTCAGCGAGTGCCCAGCCACGTCCACCTGCGAGGTCACCTGCCTGGAAAGTGCACCCCAAGCTGGCCTTCCCGAGCCTGCCCCCTTCCAGGGGGCTGGCCTGCGACTCCCATCATCCCCAGCCAGCACGGCCACTGGGGGGGTGGGGGTTGTGATCCAGCACATCCGGAGGGGGGTGGCCCGAGGGGGGTCGCGTCGCACGCAGGCCCAGAACATCGTTCTCTTTCTTGCTTGCGTTTGCCACACAGGAGCGTGCGGGGAGACACCGCGCTCCACGCCCGCGTCACGGAGGCCGGGGGGCTGCACCGCGCCGGCCCCTCCGCCGAGCCCCGTGGGGCGCACGCCCACCTACCCATGCACAGCGTGTCGGAGAAGGGGCTGCAGGCCTGGATCATGACCTCGTTCTCGCCGCACTGCTCCTGGCAGGCCAGGCACGGCTCCGAGGAGCTCTTCACCTCCGAGTAGAAGCCCTCCGGGCACTTCTGGCACGTGGTGTCGGTGCCGGGGCCGCAGGGCTCGGCCGCCCCGTAGCCCTCGTGGCACAGCCGGCAGGGGAGGCACGCCCGGCTGCCGTGGCTCCCGTTTCCCGGGGGAAGGTACTGCCCCTGCGGGCAGCCGCTGGCACAGACTCTGTCCCGCGCAGGGGCGCACGCCTCCTGTGTGTGCACGTGGCCCGGGCACACGGTACACGGGCGGCAAGCCTCCGTGGCGCTGGCGACGGCGGAGAACATCACACCTGTGGGGGAAAGACGGAGGTCACACGCGTCCCCGCGGGCGGCACGCGTCTCCCTGGCCGCTGCCGTGTGGCCCAAGCGTGTGGCTTCCCCAGAGGCCACGCCAAAAGGCTGCAGCGGCTCTCTCCCACAGCTGCTGTCCCAGCAGGGAGGGCTTTGGGCCGAATGAAAAGGGGGTGGGGTGGATTCTGGCCCCGCCCCTTCACCTTTGGCCCCACCCACCACTGCGGTGGAACAGCATGGCCACGACCGTGCAGCCTCTGTGGCTGAAAACAGCTTCTCCTGTCGCGGCGGCTTTAAAAAGTGGCTGCGGCAGGAATCCACCCTCCGACCCACCTCTGCCCTGCACAGAGAGGGAGACCCAATTCCCCGGCGGGGGCGGGCTGCCCCTGGCCAGGACCCCCCTCCTGAGCCCACCAACGTCATCCTTGCACATTAGCTGACTCTGTTTTCTGGTGGGGGCCTTCCCAAAACGAGTGCTTTCTGGATCTGTCGGACTACAACTCCCACGATCCCCTGGCTACACAGCTTAAAGAAAGCTAAATGCACACATTGGATTAGCAAGCATCCTTTAGATTCAACCTTCTACCAGGCGCTGGTTATCCCAAGCTGGACTACTGCAACAAGCTTCCGTGTGGGGCGGCCTCGGGAGACAGGCCAGAAACTTCCGTTGGGGCAAAATGTGGCCACGAGGATGCTCATGGGGCCAGGATGTTTGACCATGGTTCGAAGACTTCGGCTATCCGTCGGTGCTTGGCTCCCAGTAAGTTTCCAGGCCTGGTGCGAAGTCTCCAGGTGTTTTCGCCCCACCAATGTGGCTGGGAAATGGATGCAGAAAAGGGCTTCCCCACGCGAATGGAACTTTCTCCTGGAAAAGTCCAGACGATCGTGGGCTCGGCTTTCAGCAATCAGCAAAATTAAGTGGCTGAGCTGTGCCTGGACTGTACCACTTCAGAACAAAAAGATGGCCTGGTTTTGAGTGTTTGCTCGCCTGAAAGCGAATCCAAGCCAAACCAAGCCCTCCTTTGCATGCAGACAACTAACCTCTGGAGAGCAGGGGAGGTCGAGATCTCCCCACGATGTGCCACTTCCCCACAAGGCTGAAGGGGCATTTTTAATTCCTACTTGCACTCAGGAGGGTGCCTGGCCACCTGCAGTAGTTTCCTCCGAGAAGAGCACCACCAGGCGAGCGCTCAAAACAGATCGAACGGGTTCACGTGAGCCAGGCAGGCGCTGGCGAGAGGCCCCCCAGCCCCCCCCCCCCGGTTCTCCCACTCACCTTCCTGGCATGGCTCACACTGGGTGTTGCTGCTGCCACAGGGGACAGCGACCCCATAGCCGGGGGGGCAGAGGTGGCAGCACTCTCCAGCCGCGGTGAAACGCCCATTCTCGCAGTCCTGGTGAGCCCAAACCTGGACAGAGAAGGCGAGAAGACAGAATCAGACTCACCCGGGGGACCTGAGGGTAACGGCAATTCAACAGAGTGGCATTTTGGCTCCGCCCCCTTGCCTTCAGCCCCTCCCACCCCAGACTGCAGCCCCAGAGAGGCCCTTTGAAACAAAAGTCAGCCCTCGGGCCAAAAGAGGTTCAACACCCTCATTCTGACAGGTGACTAAAGGTTCCAGCAGGTTCCGAAAATGTCCCCAGGCCAGCAATCGGGAATCCGAGCAATGCAGAACAGGTTTCAAAGGCAGAATCAAATGAGATATGCAACGAGAGATGGCATAAAAGCTCGTTCGGAGTGTGTGATCTATGCCACTCACAGAAAGCAGAACCTGTGTCTCTGAGCACAGGCTGGGGTCGGGTTTCCAGGGAGGGGGGCATGGGGAGACGTCCCCCTTTCACCTCTGCTCCGAGGGGATTTGGGCAGCCCCCGGCCGTGCGATTGGGCCCGTGGGAAGAGCAGCACACGCCTCGGTCCTCGGAGTCCGTGGCGCAATTCTTCCTCCTGGCCTGGCTTCCCCCCACCTACCTCTCCACCCCGTCGGGTCTCTATTAATAACCTTTGGAATGCAGCATCTCGCAGACTGAAAGGGGTCCCCCCTCCCCCTGCCGAGGAATCCGGCTAAGCGGCACGCAAGACGAGACCGTGCACACGAAGCCCGCCGCTGGCACTGCCCGGACCTCCTTCCACCCTGGCCGTCCGGCCTTGGCTGGAGGGGACAAGACAGCCCTGTGTCCCTTCTGTGCACCAGAACCCTGTTCCGGCCAACCCTCAAGCCCGGGATGCCGTGCAGAGCCCGATCTCCCGTCCAGTTACACCGCAACCTGCCCCGGCCTCTCCCGGCCTTTGGGAAGGCAGAAGGCCTGTTGTGACCCGTAATCTGCCCTGTATGGCTTTTGCGAAAGGAAGAGGAGACGAGGACGCTCAGGCCCCAAAGACACCAGCGTCCTTGCTCGGCTCATTCTCCTCTCCCTTGGGCAGCAGCCCCTCTGGAACAAGCTCCTCTCGTCTTCCCCCAGCCAAGAACAAAGAGAATTAATTGCATCTGGAGACAGTTAATTATTACAAGGCCATCTTGGGAGTGCAGCAGGGGGAAAAGGGTGGGGGAGAGTTGCAAGAACCCCCTTGCAGCAGAGACTGAGACAGAGGCGGGCCTGCTCCGGGCAGATTGGCCTCAGACAGGTTTCCACACCTCTGGAAAGGGCCCACAGTGCCCCCCCCCTCGCAAGCAGGTGTTCCTCCGACAGTTAACCTCTGCTTTGCTGGATCTTGGTTCTTGCTCTGGGGGGATGCAGCGTCGAGGCAGGTCACCCTGGAACTCAAGCCGGAGATGGTGTAAAGGGAATCGCTGCACGGTCTGGCTTGCACCGACCGCGGGGTCTTCCAGAGTTTAGACTGCAACCCCCAGCATCCCCAGCCAGCTGGGAGTAGTTGTCTAGCACCTCCGGAGGTTCTAGGCTGGGGCAAGTCTAGGATAGCTTTTCCCTGGGTTTTCTCTGCTTTTGCTTCGCCCGCCTTTTCTTCCAGTAGTTTCCTCTTTGTTGGTGTTTAGATTGTAAGCCCCTTGGGGCAAAGACCTGTTCCTTTCTGCTGGGTAAGGTGCCATGACTAGCAACAGGGAGAGGGAGGATCCAAGGAAAGCCCTGCTGAGGATGGGCGGGAGGCCGATTGGCAGCCTAGCCATGTCTATAAGCAAGGGTGGATCCAGGCATAATCCTCCTTAGAGGATCCCATTGAAATCAATTACATTGACAACAGACTGACTTCTATCCCAATGAAAGCAATAGCCGAGGGAGGTCGTGGGCTCTCCCCGGGCCGGAGACACAGACTCCCATCATGAGTCAAGCCGGGAAGCGTTGACGGGAGCCCCAATCCCATCGGCCACACCTTGGCTTTATCTTGATGTGCCATGATCCTCACCCGTGATTGACCCTGCCCTGTCGGAAGGCAAAGCGGGAGGGGGCTGTGACCCCCCGGCTGATTTTGTGAGTCCCACCTTGCATACCCTTCCCCGAGCCAGAGCCAAGCAGGACCAGATTGCACGGGGCTTGAAATGCATCTCTGCATCCGCCTACCTCCGTGGGATCTTAGCAAGAGGTGAAGAGGAAATTCTCCCTTTCTCTCTCGCGCTCTAGTCCTGAGGAATATCCCTCCGACGACATCGGGGTGTGTGTGGGAGCCTGTCTTTGCAGTCAATGGGAGTTCCCGCTTCCTGGGGCACCGCTGGACACCGAATGGATTCACCACTCGGATCCCCGAACCAAAGTGCACAGATTTGCACATGCTTAATGTATGGATGTTCTAAAGCCTATAGAAGCCCCCCCCCCCCCACTCTCCTCTTTGCCCAGGAGAGGAGGGCTTTAGACGGAAATAAGAAAATCTCAGGCAGAAGGATGGGGCAGGGGCAGGGGGTGGAAAGGGACGCACAGGTGGGCCAAAAGCCGAACGGAAATTGTTTCGGATAATAAACTATTTTATGCTTTAGCATACTGGAAGTTTGGCTGTTTAAAATTTGCACATTGGGATTTTATACTGAGTTGTATTGCGGTCGTATTTTTCTTCCGTCTTTTGCATTTGATTAATTGCTGTGAACTGGCCAGGGAGCTTTGGCTATTGGGCGGTACAGAAATGAAAAGTGGGGGGAGGGTTCAGTGCCACAGGCGTCCTCAGGGCCCTGTCACTGGTGGGGCAATGACGCCCCCCGCCTGAAGATTTGGGGCTCCAGCCTTAGGGGGACCCCCATACACCGTGGCTGCCTGGTCCAGCTCCAAGCAACTGCCGGCCCTAAAGAAGACGGTTCCCTCAAATTTGCATCAGGTCCCGTAACAATCGTGTCCTCACAGCAATTACTCTTTAAAACCTGCAGATTAATTGCAAAAGTGTCTCAAACTTCACATGTGGTCTGGCCTTCCATTTTTGCAGGATACTGGAGTGAGGACTGCTGCCAGGGGCCGCCTGGGTGGGGGACACGACCCCTCCACGTGGAACAGAAACAGAGCGAGTCAGAAGGACCCCCCGGGCCATCTAGTCTGACCTCCAGCACCAGCTGGCTCTGCTCACGACATGCCCACCATGTGGACGTCCAGCCTATCCTTGCACCGATGGGGCCTGAACAACCTCCCAGGGAAGCCCATTCCACACCCTGGGGGTCCTGACTGTCAGGAAGTGCTTCCTGGCATCCAAACTGAACCTTGGCTCCCTGAGCTTTGCTCCATTGGAGCGCGTCCTGCCTTCCTCTGCAGGGGAGAACAGGTCTCTACCCACTTCCATGTGACACCCCCTCGCATACCTGTATGCCAGCAACAGATCCCCTCTGAGTCTCCTCCAGGCTGAAGAGACCCAGTTCCCTCAGTCTCGCCTCATACCCCATCATCCCCTGCAAACCGGCCACCAACCTTGTGGCCCTTCGCTGCACTGACTCCAACCTGGCTAGATCCTTCCTGCAATGAGGGCCCCAAACTGAGCACAAGACTCCAGTTGCACTCGAACCACAGTCATACAGAGTGGTAGTAACACCTCTCTCGATCTAGAAGCCACGCTTCTGGCTATGCAACCACAGGTGGCGTTCGCCCTCTTGACCACCACATCACACGGCTGGCTCATGTTTCGCCTGCAGTCGACCAGCACCCCGAGGTCCCTTTCACAAGTGCTGCTCTCCATCCACTTGGCCCCCAACCTGCACTTATGACAGCTATTCCCATGCCCCAAGTGCAAGACCTTGCACTTCTCCACACTGAACACACTTCTGGCTATGCAACCACTTGACCACCGCATCACACTACCAACTCATGTTTCGCCTGCAGTCGACCAGCACCCCGAGGTCCCTTTCACAAGTGCTGCTCTCCAGCCACTCATCCCGTAACCTGTACCCATGACCCCCATTCCCGTGCCCCAAGTGCAAGACCTTGCACTTTATCCACATTGAACACACTTCTGGCTATGCAACCAAGGGTGGCGTTCGCCCTCTTGACCACCGCATCTCACTGCTGGGTCATGTTGAAACACCTGGGCCATCGCGGTTCCACCACACCAGAACCCGGCAGACCCTGCTGACCGCAGATCACCCTCGCGGGGGTCCGCATGGCCACGAGAGTCCGAAATGTTCCTTTTACCGAGAGCCGGGCTTTCAAAGAATCTAAAAACTACAAGTACATGGAAATACAGAACACACACCTCTGTTAGGTCCAGAACTTTTATCTGTTTACCTGGCATGCCCGCAATGTGTAGCTACGTTCCGTGCGTCAGAAAACAAAACAAAATAAAATTCTATGCAGTTTATCGTAACAGTTAAAATGATGAGATATACAAACAAAGCAGAAAAATGCAAAACAGGTTTGCAACAGAAGGAAAGCAAAGGAAAATCAGCAACGGAATTTCAAAACTGGTAGAGAAGATCCAAAAGTACCAAATATTTAAAAAATGGAAGCCTGTTATCTGGGCAGCAAGATCTTAAGACAGATGTGCCCAGCATTCCATAAATGGAGCGCCGTGAGCAAAACAGCCCTTTTCGAACAGCCAAGTTCATTCTTCCTGACTTGGTGGACATCCGAAGGGCCCCTGAAGATAATCTTGGGCTCCACGCAGAAATGTGCAGGAGGAGCCACGGGCTGCGTTCAGACACCACGCTAACACACACTCAAGGGCTAAGTACGGTTTGAGTGTGGGTTGTGGTTTTGCTGTGGACATGGTGCCATCTGAACCCAGCTGAGATCTGAGATTCCCCAGAGAGGTCCGCCTGGCGCCGTCGTTATTTGTTTTTCGGCGCCAGGCGAAGACCTTTTTATTTAAGCAGCATTTTAAATGTTAATATTATTGAATTTTATCTGGCCAGGGCGGCTTATTTTATATCGTATGTTTATATTTCATTCTAATGTTTATATTTTTAATCTATGATTCTAATTATTTAACTTATTGTTGTAAGCCGCCCTGAGGCTTCGGCGAATGGGGCGGCATAAAAATGTTTTAATAAATAAATAAATAAATAAATAATAAACTGTGGCTGCTTAACCACATCACAAGCATGTGAAGGGAACTCGGCAGCTGTGGCCGGGTTGGGAAGTGCGGGTGGTTTGCGGGTGGCGATGCTCGGCTCCTCCCGGCTGAGCTCAGGCCGGGCACAGCCTGGCGCTCACGGCAGCCGCGGGGCGTCCACAGTTCGGTGACAGCCGCCCAGCAAAACGTGCTCGGCCCCGAAGGTCGCCGGTCATTGTGTCATCTGAATGCAGTGCAGCCCTCCCTGCTCCATCACAGCGCTTTGAAGCAAAACAGAAGGCGGCCCAGGCGGCAAAGGGCTGGCCTCGGACTACCGCCTCCATCCTCCCGCCAGCGCCTTTTCGCATGGGCTGAAGTTTCTGGACCGTTTCCACAGCCAACTCCGTCCAGAGCAATTCACACACACGAGCTTACTCCTGACTAGCTCAGCCTACCGTAGCCTGGCACCCTCCTGTGGCCCTGACCACAACCCCCATCATCCCCAGCCATCAACCTGGCTGGGGATCATGGGCTGTATAGCCCAACCCTTCAGAAGGATGGCGGATAGGAGAAGGCAGGAGCAATGCGCCCACACTGGCGCACATCTTCTAGCTGGGCTGTCGGAAGTTCCCAGGGCCATTTTGCTGCTGCTCAAAATAATTTTAACCGGAGCCTCTTCTACGGGAAAGACGTAAGTACGGTCCCCGCGAGCTAGAGGGCCCCTTTTTAACATCCTAATTTATCTATTTAGCCACATAGTTATCCTGCCCACTCTGGGAGGAGGAGGATGGAGAGGGGTCCTGGATGCACCGTTTTGCATCAAGGGCCAAATTCATTTTCGGAAGAGCTCTGGGATCGGGGTGTGGAAGAGTCAAGTGATGGCCAAAGGCAAAAAGTTCAGTTTGGATACCAGGAAGCACTTCCTGACTGTTAGGACCCCCAGGGTATGGGATGGGCTTCCACGGGAGGTGGTTGAGGCCCCATCGGTGCAGGTGTTCAAAGATAGGCTGGACAAGCACATGGCGGGCATGTCATGAGCGGAGCTGGGGGTCAGACTAGATGGCCCAGGAGGCCCCTTCGACTCGCTCAGTTTCTGTTTTCCTAAAAGCAAACACAGAAAGGGCCAAAATGCCCCCAGTACTGGCATGTTTTCACTCCCAGTTCTTCCCGCTCATAACTAACTTAGGAGAGGGACTCCAAGCCTGCAGAATCGCAGAAAAACCACACAAGATCCTCGAATGCACAGACGAGTCGGTGGCTGGGAGCACGGGGAAGGAGGCACAGCTGTTCAGGAACCCTGGGGGGGCAATTAGGACCCCCGCAGGCCAGATCGAAGCTCGACACCCCTGCTCTGAGTCTGGCACGGCGCCCCGGTCTTTGCTCCCCCAGCCAAGAGCGGTGAGCCGAGCCCATCTGGCAGGATGGCTCCCGTCTGAAGCGTAGGAAAAGGTGGCTCGATGCAACACGAAAGCAGCTGGAAGGATTGGCCTGTGTGGGAGGGAAGCGTTTTCGGCTGCAGCGCTCTTTCCACTGACTCACCCCATAAATCTGGGGGCACGGCGAGGGCACCCGGGAGACGGAGGCTTGCGAAGGAGTGATGAGGGCCGATCCGTCCGCTGCCTCCATCCCCAAATCACGTCATCGGAATAAATTGGGGATGGGAACCAGCCACGCTCCCTGCGCTATTTGGCTACAACCCCCAGCATCCCTGGCCAGTGGCTGAGCTGCTGGGGCTGATGGGAGACAGAGTTCAACAACAGGTTCAATGCAACGTTATCGTCACGTTTATAGCCTGACTGTTTTTCTCCTGCGAGGCAGCAAAGGTGACTGACTCGATCCGTTGCTTTCCCATTTCATCTTCACAACAGCCCTGTGAGGTAGGTTAGGCTGAGAGTCAGCGACTGTCCCCAAGTCAGCTAATGCCCTCACAAGGGGGGGAAAACTCTCTGCAATTGCGGGGCTGCCACCAAGACGCCCCGCTCTCTTGCTGCCGGCCTCTGAGCCTCACTGGGAGAAGGGCTCCCGGTGCCCATGTATGTTGCTTTCAGAGCAAAGGGAAGATGTGGCAAGCCTCTGCCCCAGAGAACTTGCAGTCTAAAAGTAGGCAAGCCAAGGGAAAGTGCAATCAACTTTTGTTTCACCTGGGATGGAGTCCTAAGGAGCTAGTCCTCAACGTTTGCACTGCCCCCTGGGGAGGCAGCAAGGAAGGGCACGAGCCTGAGCTAAAGGTCCTTTGCTCCCAGTAGCAGAGAGTTACAGTTAAATTCCAGCAAGGCTTGTCCTATAATAAGTCCCACTGAGTTCAGGGGTGTGCACTTGGATTTGGGGGGGGGCGGCAAGCTGGGGCTAGGGGCAGGGGGTCCGGATGCAAGCTCTGGCCGGTGGGCTTGGCTGTGCCTGTCAGCTCTGCTATTCACTTCGAGCATAAACTAATTAGCACATCTTTTTGCACAACACAGGAGACACCTGTCCCAGGGATTCGTGCCGGGATGTACAGACAAGCTAAACCTCGCGGTCATCAAAGTTTGTCCGTTTTTCTAAAGTGCACACTTCTGTCCCACGTGCTGCTGAATGCATTCTTGAGTCAGAAACATGTGGAGCAAAACTGTAAATGGCATTTGAAGATGTCTTTGGAGTGGGAGCTGCGAACAGGCATATTGCAAGCCAAGCCAACTGAGACAAACTACCAGCACCGTTGGGGGACGGGGGTGGAGTGTGCTGCTCCCCGGGGGGAGTGGGGGCCACTTAGCCCACACGTCTGGGATTTGACTTCTCTGAACGATACAGAAGCAAAAGCTGCAACGGCTTTCGAAGTCTTGGTTATCCTCTAAGTACACATGCATATAAACCCTCTGTCAAGGGAGAAGAAAATATCGAGACTGAGCTTGAGAGTTAATTTCAAAAAAAACATTGCAGAAGGGTGGTTACTGCTTTCCTGCGACAAAAAGGAAGACACTCTGATGCATGTTTAATATCTTTTAAAATCCACATAAAAGTATGGAGCTGGGTCAAATGTACAGAAACATTTCCCAAACTGCTGCCTCACTTGGGGCACGCAATTTTCCAAAATTCCAGCTAGGGCTCTGGGACAACATAGCCCAAAACATCTGATAGGCACCAGTTTAAGTCTCTCAAGAGCACAAAAACTTGCACATATTTTATTTATGTATTTTATTTATTAAGAGCTTTTCTAACCCGTCCACGACAAACGAATAAAACAAACATCACAGTGTACTTTGGGATGATCTTGTGCAAACGAATAAAACCATGAACTAATTTGGATTTTGAGATACTTTTGCCGGATCTGTAGTTGCACAAATCTAATCTACCTTCGCCTCTCCCTGCTGTGCCCCAAGTATCAAGTTTAGCGCAGCAAGAACACGTCTTCGTATTTTACCGGCTTTTCTGGTTTCCTAAGCCTGCGGGGCAACACCGCCAGCGTGTGTCTTTACCAAGACTTGGGTCCCCATCAAAACCTGGGCCTTTGCTCCTTGCACGGAGCACAGAAAGCTGCCTGAGCCATCACCAATTCGGGCATGGAGTGGTCCACCGTGGTGCCGGGGAATCCAGTTGGTTGGCCACTCAGAAAGAAATCCTACCAATTTCCCCCCAAGCTAAGAGGGAACCCCATGGTTAGCCGAAGCAGATGGAAAAGAAGCGTTTCGAATTATGGAACGGATCTTGGGAATGGCCCAGAAAGCTTCAGCTAGTGGCTGTTATAAAAATGTAATAAATAAAGATAAAACCTGAATAAGCAAATAACCAGACACTTCAACCTTTCTGTGGGAAACCTACCACTTCTAATAGATATTGGTGTTGTGGGACAATGGAGCCATCTTGGAGGAAGTGGCTCCCTTCCAGGTAGAAGCAGCAAAATACATCAACGGCTGTAAGCAAAGATTGTGTTTGCTCACAACACATCCCCTGATCAAAGCTCCGAAGGGACTTACGGGTGCAAGCATGCGCCAGCGGAAAACAGTCATGAATGGCCAAGCATGTCCTTGTATCGGCCTTGCGCGATTTTCTCAGTTAGGAACTGCAGCTTTTCTCCTTGCCTGGAGGGAAAGTAACACGCATTTCTTGCTTGGTTTGTGCCATTTCCCATTCCTGCAGAGCGAACAGCAATGCAAGGGGCAAACGGAAATTGGGCACGAATTGAGAGATAATGGTGGGAGAATTCTAGCATCTGGAACCATGTTCATTGGCACATGGGAAAGCACATCACTTGGTTCCAGACCTTTCATTATTGCGCAAGGATGTTTGGGGACTGCTTGGCGGTATTTCCTCGGTCCAGAATTTCTCCCTGGCAGAGGACCATATTGTTCTTCACTGTGAGGCAATTCTGGATTGCTTTAGGGGACAATCTTTGACCTCCTGGAATTTTCTGGGAGGCCATCAGAGCATTCGGAAGCCCAGCACCACGGTCCTAGACCTCACTGAACGCTCAGCCTCAGTCTCCCCTCCTCAAAGCGGACACAGAACGAATTGCAGCAGCTGCCTCTCCAAATTTGCAAACGCGCTTCAGAGAGTGGGGAGAGGGGTCTGGTGGGGAGCATGAAGGGGAAGGGGCCGGGCTGACAGCTCACACCCTATCCAAGCCGTGCCTGTGTCTCCTTCCCTTCTGCTCCAAAGCACCGCACTTAGATGCCTCCAATTCTCTTTCGGAGGGCCAAGGCCGCTCTAACAGGATTGCTCCAGATTTATTTTTTAACATGTGAAGGATAATTGTTGAGATTTCTTAAGTTAAGCTGCTTATAAGTGTTACTGATACATGCTATTAATAGCCAATTATCTCACAAGACCTCACAGGCTTGGTGCCTTCTCTATTTTCTTGCAAAAGCCTCTGACAGATCCTGGCATTCCTCACCCCACAGGAACAGGAACCTAGTAATGTCCAATTTTTAGGGCATGTCTTCTTGTTTTAAAAATTAACTTTTCTGGCATGTTCGCTTGCATCCCGCTTCTGCCTTGCATTTTTTTCATACTAGCCTGAGTGGATTCGGAAAGACTGTAAACATTATATAAATGTAATTTAATATTAATCATGGAAGCCATTTTTTCACCATGCCCCCAAACAAACACATCTCTTTTCCCCCTGGTTTTGTTCAACGTAACTTCCAGTCGGAAGCAGGGTCCTATCAAACCTGCTGGCTCTTTTGGAGCTGAAGTTGTTAGTCGGAAGAGAGTAAGATCCCGGGCAGCCCCATAGGAAACCGAATAGCTGGCTACCCCGAGCTGTACGCCTGCAGTTTTGCACACTCAGATTTCATTGTGACGGCGCTGGAAAGCTCAGCTCCTTCACCCGCATTCCACCCCACGATACCCGTCGTCTTCCGGTGCGATCCAGTGAACTTCCAGGCATGATCGAGGGGCCATAGGATTTTTCTGAGTCCCCGGCCAAAATGTTGGTGGAAAAACCTGCAGCAGCCCCTGAGCCCCACCCCTGCTCAGATATCACAACTGGGCCTTGGAGGAAAAAGAGGGCGGGCACGGATAGAGAAGGAAGGGGTCTGGGACTGCAGACGCACCCCAAATGCAACTGGCACCCCAGCTTTCTTCTGCCCCAGCCCTTGGCTCAAAATCCAGATGCACGGAAACAGCTGGCCCGGGAACACAGCTGGCCAGCGTGAGTTGTGCTGGTGGTGGAGTTCGCCACGGCACCTTGTTCCAGGCATCGGATGCACCCAGGTTTGGAGGCGAATGAGCGACCGGGGGGGGGGGGTGGCACATGTCGATTCATGCCGAGTGAGGGGCACAGGGTCGCTCGCCGTGGTGGAGCCCCCTTCCTCCTGACAACTTCACGCAGGCTCCTCGACATTTTGCATTTCAACAAGTTTTTGGATAATTAATTTAAATGTAATTGAATACTTGCATCTCTTTTATGGATTATTTATTTTAATTTTGGCTAATTTATTGCTTGTGCTTATTGGTGTGAATGGGTATGTTTTATTATGTGATCTTATCTACTATGTTATTGTTTTATCTATTTTATCAGCTTTTCAACTGTTTCACTGTTTGCTAAGCATGTTTATATGCTGTTTTAGCATTTCTAAGCCCTCCAGAGAACCTTTAGGCTCTAGGGTGGCATAAAAATGGAATAAATACAGAAATAAATAAGCCTCACCCACGCCTGTCCCTCAATGGTTCAGAAAAATCAGAGAATATTAGCCCTGCCTCCATCCCACGTCAGTTTACTTTGATGTTAGCTCAAGGCAAAGATCATGTTCACCAAGGTGTGGGGTTCTGTGGATCCCAGACTCCGTGCTTTTTAAAAAAAGTCGCCGGTCAGCAACACTCACGGGCAGGCGGGCGGGCTGGGTTTCGCAGCCCCCATCGCTAAACGCAGCCAAGAAACGGGCTCCATTTGAGGACAGTGGCCGCTGCCTCCTGCAAGGTCCCTCTAACCTAGCATTCTGTCTCCAGTGCTGGACAGCAACCAATCTTTCTGCTGAGGGTTGCTTACGTGGGGTGGAGAGCAGGGAGGAAGGATCTGTCAGAAGTTCCAGCAAAGCAGGGCCAAAACCAGAGACGTGTGGGCCAAACCTTCTTTCTCGCGCTTTCTGACCTACCCCTCCCTCCTCCTCTTCCAACAAGGCCAGGATCGACAGCTTGCAGAGGCTTCCCAA